AAAAATATGAAACCATTTTGCCATTCCCCCACCCAAAATAATCTGTACCTTCTAGAATCCCAAATTTGCATCCACAGTATATTTTTACATGGGCCTGGATTTCTCCAGAGTCATGTTTCCACAGAGCCAAGTGTTTCCTGTGTATATCTTTACACCCCAAATTAACTACCCTTTAAACTTCTGCTACAATTTCATCTCTCATTTGATGGCCATTTTCCACCAAGTTTTTATTGCTCCACAATAGTACTTTGGATGTGGTGGAGATGAAAACGAAGTGGCCTGTTCTTTACATCAGCCACCTAGGGTATATGAATCAAACTCGTGTCTCAGTAAAGTTACACACGTTTACATTTCTTGAAACGTTGGGTTGCTTGTGAGTGATCAAAATTACAAACATTAAATCTTTGGATGCCCGGGGCCTACCTCAGAGATGACATGGGTACTCTTACATAACTGCCCATACCAGACATCACTGATTGATCACAGTGGTCTTTCCAGAGCTTGAGTTCTGCTAATAATGCTTTAGGCACCCACCACCAGCTCAGTGGAATGGGCATGAATGGGCACAGCAGCTGGAACCAGTGTGCCATTTCTGGCTTTCTCCACCTATTGAATGAATGGGTTCTTGATGGGAGACTGCTGCCCCAAAGAGCGGCCACTGCTGGACAACATTCACCCTAGAGTGGCTACACAGAGAAGTGATGACCTAATTTTTGTTTTCCTGCAGGAATATCCTGGGATCTTATCTGTCAGCAGCCAAGGTGCTTGTAGGAAATTCAAAGAAAACAGGTCAGTGTTGGTCTGGGTCCATTGTGGTGGGGCCTTAGAAAGTCTTTGTGTGATAAACTGAAGTCAAAGTCTCTTTTGTCCTTTAACTGTGAGTTGGGGAGGGAGGATAACATAGGATACTGATATTTTTTAGACGGTCTCTCTGCCCTAGCCCTTGACTTGGAAGTGATAAGCTCCTTAAATTGGGCTTTGGGGGCCAGGAGAGAGATCCTCCTCCCTACTGTTTCTGATTGGCAGCTAGCAGTATTCTTAATTTCTTCCTTGGAGAACCACCCTGATTGTAAGGAGGAAGCCTAGGGAAGCAGGAGAGGCCTGTAACTTCCTGTTTCCTGTCTCCTCCCAGCAGGCTTGGGAGCTAGGGTGAAGGACCTCCCACCAGCCATTCAGAAAAGCATCTGTGGGAATCTGGCCAATGCTACCTAACTCTTATTCCTCTGCACTGGCTGCTACAGGAATGCCCCTGGCCATCCAGGTGGCACCCTCTGCCAGGACCCTCATCAAGATCCTCTTCTCTGCTCCTACAGACTCCTGGGGTCTTGCTTTGTTCCCAGCACTTGTTCATCCAGGACCCTGGTGGAGCTACCTTTGG